ACTAGCCTGGCCAATATGGTGGAACCCCATCTCTACTAAAAATACAAAAAATAGCCAGACGTGGTGGCAGGCACCAGTAGTCCCAGCTACTCAGGAGGCTGAGGCAAAAGAATCGCTTGAACCTTGGAGACAGAGGTCGCAGTGAGCCGAGATCGCACCACAGCACTCCAGCCTGGGCAACAGAGAGAGACTCTGTTTAAAAAAAAAAAAAAAAAAAAATTAATTAATTAATTAAAGAAATACAAGTGCCTACTGATTATCTTTAGAAGAATTCAAGGTAAATGTTAGCCTTGTGTCATATAGAAATTCACCATCAAATGCAACGCTCTTCAGGAAGTAACTACTTCAAAATTATTGGGACTTTTTTTGATATTTGAATCATAACCTGTTGGTATTATCTTTGATTAAACTACTGCCAAATACGTTTTTGGTTTTGTTTGTTTGTTTTTTCTTTTGAGACAGGGTCTTACTTTGTCACCCAGGCTGGAGTGCAGTGGCGCCATCTCAGTTCACGGCAGCGTCGACCTCCTGGGTCATGGCTCAGATGGTCCTCCCACCTCAGCCCCCAAGTAGCTGGGACTATAAAGGCACCTGTCGCCATGCCTGGCTAATTTTTTTTTGTTTTTTGTAGAGTCAGGGTTTTGCCGTGTTGCCCAGGCCGGTCTCCAATTCCTGACCACAAATGATCTGCCCGTCTCGGCCTCTGAAAGTCCTGGGATTACAGGTGTGAGCCACTGCGCCTGGCAACAAATAAGTTTTGAGAGTTCACTCATATTATCCTCTTTCGTGACGCTCAGGAGAATTTTTAACCATAATTAAATAAACAAATCACTGTTATTTACAGAGTCGCTTGTGTAAGGAATGATGATTGCAAATATGCCTCTGCAGCTGTTTTGTCTCTATGAGCTGTCGGGTGCTTCCCAAGGGTAATTTTACATTTTCCACGTCACCTGTATTGTAAGTTACACAACCCCAAATCCAGCGATCAACTTCTTTGAGCTCTGCAGACACTAAATTATAAATGTAGTTGTGATTCTTTGCCTATAGAAAATACTCTTGTCGGCCGGGCATGGTGGTTCACACCTGTAATCCAAACACTTTGGAGGCCAAGGCAGGCGGATCACCTGAGGTTGGGAGTTCAAGGCCAGCCTGACCAACATGGTGAAACCCCATCTTTATATTTTAAAAATTTATATATTTTAAAAATATGAAATTTGATACATATTTTATGTATATATATATATAAAAGAAAATGCTCTTGTCTGTTGGGCGCAGTGGCTCACACCTGTAATCCCAGCACTTTGGGAGGCCGAGGTGGGTGGATCAGGAAGTCAGGAGTTCAAGACCAGCCTGACCAAGATGCTAAAACTCCCTCTATACTAAAAATACAAAAATTAGCCAGGCATGGTGGCGTGCACCTGTAATCCTAGCTACCTGAGAGGCTGAGGCGGGAGAATTGCTTGAACCCAGAAGGCAGAGGTTGCGGTGAGCTGAGATGGTGCCACTGCACTCTAGCCTGGGCGACAGAACTAGATTCCATATCAAAAAGAAAAAGAAAAAAGAAAATGCCCTCATTATAAGCAAGAGCCATCTACATGCTATATCATCAAAAATGTTTATATGAGAAAATTGAATTAATCCATAGACACTTGATAAACATAAACACAGACCATTGAGTCTATCTCTTGAGCAGAAGGGGAAACATAAGCCTTGATTTTAAGGCAAATTGGGTTGAGGATAAGCAATATCAATTTGCATTTTATAAACTGAAGATTTAAACATTTACTTCATTAAAATAACTTATTCCATAAATATGGCAGAAGCAAGCAAAAAAAAAAAAGCTTGCTCTTTTGAAAACAAGATTCTGAATTACAGCTCCATGATGTGTTTATGCAAATGTATATGAAGATCTGTTTTTTCTTTATTTTTCTGCAAGTCTTACTTTGTCACTCAGGCTAGAGTGCAGTGTGGTGTGATCCTCGCACCGCAGCCCAAATAGCTGGGACTGTGGGCACAAGCCACCACGCCTGGCTGTGTGTGTGTGTGTGTGCGTGCGTGTGTGCTCGTGTGCGTGTGTGTGCGTGCGCGTGCGTGCGTGTGTGTGTATGCGTGCGTGTGTGCTCGTGTGCGCGTGTGTGTGCATGTGTGTGCGCGCGCGCGCGCGCGCGTGTGTGTGTGTAGATAGGGTTTTGCCATGTTACCCAGGCTGGTCTCAAATTCCAGGGCTCAAGCGATCACAACCTTGGCCTCCCAAAGCGCTGGGATTATAGACATGAGCCACTGCACCCGGCCTGTGTTTCTTTCTAGAACTTTTAAAGACATGTGTTCTCAATACCAGCCCCGTCACCTCCTGAGAACTTTGTTCCAACAATTACCTAATATTTAAAAGGTCATCAGTTGCTTTTTTTTTTTTTCAGTAGGCACTCTTCTCTTTATCTAATCGCAGGGATAGAACATCGTGGTGGATAAGAGCACAAGCTCTAAGATTAGACTGTCCAGTTTCAAATTACAACTCTGCTGCTTACTAACTGTTACCCTGAGCAATCGTCTTAACCTCTCAGTTCTCTCATCCGTCAAATGGGGGTGACAAAAATGCCTAGCTGGTTTAGTTAGGATTAAGTTCAGCTTGAGTGACAGAAATTTAAAATAATGAGGTTAAAATAAGGTTGAAGTTAATTTCTCTCACATACATGTAAGTGTTCCGGACTGGTGAAGTGCACACACGAGCTTTGGGTACCCAAGTCTGTTCTTCTCAGTCCTCAGTGCTTGCCTTCCATCCTTCAGCCTGCAGAAGTGGAAAAATATCTTTTCCTCTCCCCATCCTAGGTTTATGACTGAGGCCCCTGTAACAAAGACAGATGAGCAAGAGAAGAGCATACAAATGTATTTGTGTAAGTTGTACTTGACATAGGAACCTTTATAAGTAAATGAAGACTCAATCCATTAAACCTGTGTATTCTAGGCCAGGCGCTGTGGCTCATGCCTGTAATCCCAGCACTTTGGTAGGCCAAGGTGGGTGGATCACCTGAGGTCAGGAGTTCAGGGCCAGCCTGGCCAACATGGCGAAACCCCAACTCTACTAAAAATACAAAAATTAGCCAGGCAAGGTGGTGGGCACCTGTAATCCCAGCTATTCGGGATACTGAGGCAGGAGAATTGCTTGAACCTGGGAGGTGGAGGTTGCGAGGAGCCAAGATCACACTATTGTACTCCAGCTGGGCAACAAGAGTGAAACTCCATCTCAAAGTAACAAAAAACACCGATGTATTTTTCGGCAAGATTTGATGAAGAGTGAAGAAATATATGATAGGATAAAAAGTATGAGCTAATAGTGATCAACAATGGGAAACAGCAAAGCCTGTTTGTTCAGATTCTTCTCTGTGACCTTTGTTTTCAGAGATAAAGGATGTTCCTTGCTTCCAGGTACAGAGTGGCTCCTCTCACATGAGGGTCTATGACCTGCTTCAGGAGAAGGTTTTATGACCTGTTTCAGGGAGGAAGGACGAGGGAAGGTCAGAGAAACCTCCCTGCTTCTGTGGTTTTCTCAAGTTCCTTCAGCTTAAATATTTTGGGGTAGCATATTCTGAAACCCATCAAGTCCAATATGAATGCTTTAGCTCAATTCATCAAACCTACATACCACATTCCAGCCATCAGGAAGAAGAAGAAGGAAAGATGAGCAGGTCCGTTCCCCGTGAGGACGTTTCTACTAACACACAATCAGCCGGTGCTCAGTCCCGAGGCGACACCTACGTGCAAAGGAAATTAGAAAATGTAGCCTGTATTTCAAGTAACTGTGTACCAAGATAAATATCACAGTTCCAAAATGACCGTGGTATCACCCATACAGGCATTTTGGAAAATGTGTGAGTTTTAAAACTGTATCACACTGGGCCCAGTGCAACAGCTCACACCTATAGTCACAGCACTTTGGGAGGCCAAGGTAAGAGAATCACTTGAGCCCAGGAGTTCCAGACCAGCCTGGGCAACATGGCAAAACCCTGTCTTTGCAAAAAAATACAAATTATAGCCAAGCACGGTGGCAGGCACCTGTGGCCCCAGCTACTTGGGAGGCGGAAGTGGGAGGATTGCTTGATCCTGGGAGGTAGAGACTGCAGCGAGCTGTGTTAGTGCCACTGTACCCAAGCCTGGGCAACAGAGCAGAAATGTGAAGAAACGAAGAATCGCCATATGCCTTGCATGAATTTCACATGTCCTGCCATATGTTCTCATAGATCAAACAATTGCTTTTGATTATCTGTGTCTACAAATGAACTCCACATTGTGTATAAAGATGTAGTACTACAGCCAGGCATGGTGACTTACACCTGTACTCCTAGCACCTTGGAGGCTGAGGCAGGAGGACGGCTTGAGCTCAGAAATTTGAGACTAGCCTGGGCAACATGACACAACTCTGTCTCTACCAAAAAATACAAAAATCAGCTGGGTGTGGGGGCATTCACCTGTAGTCCCAGCTACTCCGGAGCTGAGGTGGGAGGATCACTTGACCCATGGAGATCAAGACTTCAGTGAGCTGTGATTGTGCCACTGCACTCTAGCCTGGCTGCTAGAGCAAGACCTTGTCTCCAAATTTAAAAAAGTAAATGTGTGTAGGGCATGGTGGCTCACCCCTGTAATCCTGGCACTTTGGGAGGCCAAGGTGGGTGGATCACTTGAGTTCAGGAGTTCAAGACCAGCCTCGCCAAAATGGTGAAACCCTGTCTCTACTACAAATACAAAAATTAGCTGGGCGTGGTAGCAGGTGCCTGTAGTCCCAGCTACTTAGGAGGCTGAGACAGGAGAATCGCTTGAACCAGGGAGGCAGAGGTTGCAGTGAGCCGAGATCTGCCACTGCACTCCAGCCTGGGTGACAGAGTAAGCCTCTGTCTCAAAAAAAAGAGAATAGAAAAAAGGAAAAAGAAAATGTGGTAGTGTGACTGAGAAGCTGAATTTTAATTATATTTAGTTTTTTTTGTTTTTGTTTTTGTTTTTTTAAGCAGTCTCCGTAGAGTGTCAAAAGTTGCCAGTGCCGACTGTATTGCAAGCCCTCACGGCAGGGTATTGGGATAAGTTTTCAATTAGCAATAATCGCGCCTGGATAAACCTCATTGGCTATGATGCCGCCGCTGCGCAATGCTGTATTTAGTTTTTTGGGTTTGTTTTTTGAGGCGGAGTTTCACTCGTGTTAACCAGGCTGGAGTGCAATGGCGCGATCTCGGCTCACCGCAACCTCTGCCTCCTGGGTTCAGGCTATTCTCTTTCCTCAGCCTCCCGAGTAGCTGGGATTACAGGCACGCACCACCACACCCAGCTAATTTTTTGTATTTTTAGTAGAGACAGGGTTTCACCATGTTGACCAGGATGGTCTCGATCTCTTGACCTCGTGATCCACCCGCCTCGGCCTCCCAAAGTGCTGGGATTACAGGCTTGAGCCACCGCGCCCGGCCTGTATTTAGTTTTAATTGAAATTAAATAGCAGCATGTGGGCAGTGGTTATTGTATTGGAGAGCACAAGTCTAGATCCATAGTTTCACATTTGTGACATCCAGTTTTATCATTCCTTCTATATTTATTTATGGATTTATTTTATTGCCTGTGAGCATATTCAACTCGCCCTGAATATATGCTTCCCTTTTATCTTTATTAGCTGGAATTCTTCTATTAAAAAAGGTCTTCCAGGATGACTTTTACCAAAATTCACAGCTTGAAGTTTCTTAGGGTCACCTGGGTAGTGTGAAGAAGCTCTGCAAATCAGGGCACGGGTTTGTTTACAATGATACATTTTTAGGTAGGTGTTCAACTCTGACTCTCTTGGGTGTGAGCTTGTGGGACAGGCTTTCTTTGGGTTCATTCACTCCCAGCTTTGTGGGAAGGTCGTTTCCCATCAGACTCTCCACACTGAGATGTTGGCTGCTGTCAGTCTCTTCACCAGGCCTTGAAATCAAAACCTCAGCGTTTGGCCAAATTCAGGACAGAAACTGCCTCATTACTTTAATCATGTTTCTGTTCCTTAGATATTGGCCTGATAATTCTTATTTTCTTGTCAGCTCTTTCATGCTTTGCAGAAGACTGTTGAAAAATATTTTGTAAAGCATTTTTGGTTATTTTTAGTAGGAAGTTTGGTCCAAATATGTGACCCAACCTATTACCAGATCTAGGAGTGGAACTCTATCATGTATTTTTTAATACTCACAAAAACCTATGAACAGGTTACTATTATTATTTTTCTTTTTTTCCAGATGAAGCGGATGTGGCACACAGAAGTCACTTGCACCCGTCATACAATTAGGTTTTGAATCCTCTCCTGGCTAGGCGCAGTGGCCCACATCTGTAATCCTAGCACTTTGGGAGGCTGAGGTGGGCGACTACTTGAGCTCAGGAGTTGGAGACCAGCCTGGGCGACATGGCGAAAGCCCGTCTCCACTCTACAGGCACAAATGAGCTGGGCGGGGCAGCGCACACCTGCGGCCGCAGCTACTCAGGAGGCTGAGGCGGGAGGAACACTTGACCCGTAGAGGTCGTGCTGCCGCACTCCAGCCTGGTTGATAGAGCAAGACCTTGTCTCAAGAAAGAAAGACAGAAAGACAGAGAGAGACAGAGAGAGAGAGAGAGAGAAGAAAGAAAGAAGAAAAGAAAGAAAGAAGAAAGAAAGAAGGGAGGGAGGGAAGGAAGGAAGGAAGGAAAGAAAGAAGAAAAAGAGAGAAAGAAGGGAGGGAGGGAAGGAAGGAAGGAAGGAAGGAAAGAAAGAAGAAAAAGAAGGGAGGGAGGGAAGGAAGGAAGGAAAGAAAGAAGAAAAAGAGAGAAAGAAAGAAGGGAGGGAGGGAAGGAAGGAAGGAAAGAAAGAAGAAAAAGAGAGAAAGAAGGGAGGGAGGGAAGGAAGGAAGGAAGGAAAGAAAGAAGAAAAAGAGAAAGAAGGGAGGGAGGGAAGGAAGGAAGGAAGGAAAGAAAGAAGAAAAAGAGAGAAAGAAAGAAGGGAGGGAGGGAAGGAAGGAAGGAAAGAAAGAAGAAAGAAAGAAAGAGAGAGAGAAAGAAAAGAAGAAAGAAAGGCTGCATCATGCCAGATGGCGGCCGCGGCGGTGAACAGTGCGATCGGCGTCTCGAGCTCCGGGGCTGCGGCCGGCGCGTACGAGCAACTCAAGGGCGGCTGGAGCCGTGAAAGCCCCAATCTTAGCAAGTGCGGGGAAGAGCTGGGCAGGCTCAAGCTAGTCCTTCTAGAGCTCAACTTCTTGCCCACCACAGGGACCAAGTTGACCAAACAGCAGCTCATTTTGGCCCGGGACATACTGGAAGTCGGAGCCCAGTGGAGCATCCCCCGCAAGGACATCCCCTCCTTCGAGCGCCACGTGGCCCAGCTCAGATGCCACTACTTTGATTACAATGAGCAGGCCCCCGAGTCAGCCTACACGCACCAGCTCTTGGGCCTCAACCTCCTCTTCCTGCTGTCTCTCTGGAACTCAGCCACACGGCTGAGTTGGAGCGGCTGCCTGCCAAGGACATCCAGACCAACGTCTACATCAAGCACCCTGTGTCCCTGGAGCAATACCTGATGGAGGGCAGCTACAACATGGTGTTCCTGGCCAAGGGACACATCCCCGCCGAGAGCTACACCTTCGTCATTTACATGCTGCTGGGCACTGTCAGGGATGAGACTGCTGGGTGCATCGAGGCGGCCTGTGAGAAAATCCTTTTCACTGAGGCCACGAGGATCCTCTTCTTCAACACACCCAAAAAGATGACAGACTATGCCAAGAAGGGGGCCAGGGTGCAGGGCAAGGGGCCGTGGGACCAAGGGGTGCAGTCACAACTGTGGGGTAGCCTAGAGGGATGCTGGAACAAGACTGCCCAAGTTTAAGTTCAACTGTGTGACTCTAGGCAAGCTGCCAAAGCTCTCTGAGCATCAGTTTCTCTATCCACAGAATGAGGCTAGAGCTTAATACGTGGGATGAGCTTAGCACCTGACACCAGCTGGAGGCGGGCGCTGCACGCATGTTGGCTGCTGTCTTTATAAGAACAGCTGGAGGCGGGTGCTGCATGCATGTTGGCTGCTGTCTAAGAATTTCTTAGCGGTGGCAGCTTTTTCTGCAAGACGTTGCTTCATTTGGTCTCAGGCATTTGAGCATGAACAATGCTTGGTGCTGCAGGAGGAGGGCCAGGACCAGGCTATGGAAGGAAAAATTGGGCTGGACACGGTGGCTCACATCCACTAAGGTGGATCCTCTCACCTCAGCTCACTTTGGGAGGCCGAGATGGGAGGATCATCTGAGGTCAGGAGTTCGAGACCAGCCTGGCCAACATGGAAACACCCCCATCCCTACTAAAAAATACAAAAAATTAGCCGGACCTGCTGGCAGGTGCCTATAATCCCAGCTACTTGGAAGGCTGAGGCAGAAGAATCATTTGAACCCAGGAGGCAGAGGTTACAGTGAGCTGAGATGACGCCATTGCACTCCAGCCTGGGCAACAAGAGTGAAACGGGAAAAAACAAAAAGGTGAAATTGCATTTGAGTGATGGGACAGCTGAGACTGAGAGATCACCGGCCAAACACTATTCTCAGCACTTTAAAGGTGCTGATTCACTGAATCCTCACAGTCGACCCAGAGAGGTATGTAATTAGGGCCCCAGTCTCAATACAGAGAAACTGAGGCATAGAGAGGGGAAGTTACTTGCAAAGAGTCTTTGGGGTAGAGTAGGTTTGGTGAGAAGAGGGAGCATAGTACACATGGGCGAGTGCTGGCTCCACGGGGTGGAGATGGTGCCTGTGTGATCACCCCACCCATCTCTAATCCCTCCCTTCCTGCAGCGAGGGTGGGTCCTGGGCCCCAACAACTACCACAGTTTTGCCAGCAGCAGAAGCCAGAAGATACCAACATTCCCTCCACGGAACTGGCCGAATAGGTCATCGAGTATGCCCGGCAGCTGGAGCTGATCCTCTGAGACCACCGGGCACTGGGTGGGGCAGGGCACAAGTTATTTAAAACAGTTACAGCACAGGGTTTCCACTAATAAAGGTGGATTGACATTCTCTCTTCCAGGCCCTTGTCTCCCCAGTTGGGATGTCAGAGAGACAGTTCTAATCTCTGAAGAACTTGGAAGTTTTGGGGCGCTCAGAGGTTGGAGATAACACCCTCCAACTGGGCAGCCTCTGGTGGCCATTGCTCAGGGTCTCAAACACAGATGCCCACTGTGACGCGGCAGCACTGTGGCCTGCAGGAGGGCATGGCCCAGGTAGGGGACACACAGAAATGCTGGGCCAGGGTACCGGAGTTTTTCAGCAAAAGGGGTGAAGTGTCCCATTAAAAAGAAAAAAATGTTGGCAATGAATTAAACAATTTTTCGAATTAAAAAAAAAAGTGGGCGGGACACGGTGGCTCACACCTGCAATCTCAGCACTTTGGGAGGCCAAGGCCGATGAATCAGCTGAGGTCAGCGTTAGAGACCAGCCTGACCAAAATGGTGAAATCCTGTCTCTACTTAAAATAAAAATTAAAAAATAGCTGAACGTGGTGGCCCATGCCTGTAATCCCAGCTACTCAAGAAGCTGAGGTGGGAGGATTGCTTGAATCCGGAAGGCAGAGGTTGCAGTGAGCTGAGATCGCACCACTGCTCTTCGGAATGGTTGACGGGGTGAGATTTTGTCTCAAATAAATAAATAATTTTTAAAAATTATCTTAAACACCCAATTATAGGCTTTACTTAAGTTGAAGACTTCTAGTGACTTTTATGAAAAATAATTTAACCTGTTTACTTTGCTTTTTAAAATAATTAACAACAAATCTGAATGTTAAATAAAAAGGTGTTTAAAGATTAGAATCCTGTTCTAACTTTAACGTATTAATAGCTATTACCCTAAATGTTCTTGACTCAAAATATGCAACAAAAGTAAATGGTGAGGTGTTAGGGTAAAAGCAAATGGCACATACATAGAAATACCACCCGTGACCAGGCGGGTGGCACATACATAGAAATATCAGCCGTGACCAGGCGGGTGGCACATACATAGAAATATCACCCGTGACCAGGCGGGTGGCACATACATAGAAATATCACCCGTGACCAGGCGGGTGGCACATACATAGAAATATCACCCGTGACCAGGCGGGTGGCACATACATAGAAATACCAGCCGTGACCAGGCGG